AAGAAAGAAAGAAAGAAAGAAAGAAAGAAAGAAAGAAAGAAAGAAAGAAAGAAAGAAAGAAAGAAAGAAAGAAAGAAAGAAAGAAAGAAAGAAAGAAAGAAAGAAAGAAAACAAGAGGAAGGGAGAGAAAGAAAGAGGAAGAAAGACAAAGAAAGAAAAAGAAATAGGAAGGGAGAGAGAGAGAGACAGAGAAAACTCTGTGCTATTATTTTTAATTGTTCCATTATTTATCATGTGTTAATATTTTACACTGTCCCTACACCTAGAGTGATTCTACTGCCTATCTTTTGCCCAGGGCTACCACATATTTTTCAGGGTTTACATGCATTCAATGTCTATAGTCCAGAGCATAAATACACATGTGTTTAACAGAGCTGAAAGGAGTTTGGAGGTCTTCTAGTCCAAGCCCCTGCTCAGGCAGGAAAACTGAGGATGCCAAACTCTGAGTAGAGGCCCTGGGAAAGGTGTTAGAATAACACTTAGAAGGGACTTTAGGGGGAACCCTATACCATTTCAGAGAAATGGCTGTCCAGTCTTTTAAAAACTTCCAGTGATTGAGCATCCAGAACTTCTGGAGACAAGCAGGTCCACTGGTTGATTGTTCTCACTGTCAGGAGGTTTCTCCTTAGTTTTAGGTTGTTTCTCTCTTTGTTTAGTTTACATCCATTGCTTCTTGTTTGTGTTCTGCTTCTTTGGAAAATATATTGCCCCCACTTCTTTGTGGCAGCCCTTAAAAGCCTGTTGCCTATCTCCCTCATGGGCAAAGCATGTGAGCCATTTCCTCCTTTCAGTGGTCCATGAAAGTACATCTATAGTATGTAGATAATAAAGTCAAAAAAAGGTAAACAACATTTTTACAGAACTATAGATTAGTTGAGGCTGGGTGTGACAAGGAATGGCTGGGAAGGGAGGGGCCAGGTGAGGCAGCCCTCAACGTGAGTGACATTAAGTTGGTCACACCCACTCAGTCACATGACCACCAAGTTACACCCACAGTCACATGACCATCAAGCCATGCCCACCAAATAAGCCACGCCCACAGAGCCAGTAGTAAAAAAAATTGAATCCCACCACTGGTAATATCATGCAAAGCTATGAAGCTGTTATGGCTTTTGCTGAATTATTTGTTTATCACTTTATTTCCTACTTTTATATCCAGAGGCGCTCAAGACAACTAACACAAAAGAATAAGTAGGAGGATACAAAACAACATATTTTGCATGTTTTCAGATGACAATGTGAAATACCAGTGATAGACCTATTAACTAATAAAGGTAAAAGTTTGCCCTGGAACAAGTAGTTGTACTATCGATTTGATCAATCTTTGGCAGAATATGTAAATGTCTCCCTTGCATGTTCCATTAAAATGAGCAGGAGCTGTACAACACATTACAGAAATAAAAAATTCTTCCATTGTAACTTCTCAAATCCTCAGGAGGCGTGAGAAAGAAGAACCAGAAAAACAATAGTTGAAGCTTGATTTCAGAATATGGAAATGAGGGCCAAACCTCAATTTCCTAGAGTAATGACAGAGTAATGATTAGGCACATACCAATTCAGCAAATACACTGAATGCTCCTTCAGCAAAGCTATTGAATTTTTTTTCGACTGCAGTCAAGCCAAGCCAAAAATTGACTCGCAGCTGTGCTGGTATTTTGACGTTGTTTTTGTCTTGTGGATACTAGAGTATGTTTTAAGAAAGAGAGAGAGAGAAAAAAAAAACCTGGTCACTTCCAATGTGTCTTCATCACAATAAAAAACATACAGTACAGATTTCCAGGACTTACGCCCCACAGTGTAGCTTATGCTTTTTCTATCAGAGGCTGTTTCAAAAAAGTAGAAAACGAAAAACAGAGAGGTTCAAAGCGTAAACTTGTCCTTGATTTGACTTAGGAAGCAAAGACAGCCAGATGGGTAGTCTATTTCCTGTTTTTCCCCAATCCCAATTGTCAGCATACAATGCTTTGCCACTACCCAATTCCGAGAATGAAGATTGTAATCACTGCTAATATTTCCTTGCTATAAGCAGCTTGAAGATCAGCATTGTTATGTTGAGACGCCCTAACCATTGAAACACCGTTTTCTTCTGAATTGACATTGGAAGCATGTTTTAGAATTACTTCCTGATTTTTTATAACAGGGTTGGTCTTCCAAATATTACTGGACTCCAACCCTTATCAACCTCAGCCAGTACCACTGGCCAGGGATATGGAAATGAGAGGTCACAGACTTTCTATCTCTGCTTCAGAGTTTAAAAAAAAAACACAAATCATATCCTTACAGGGGCCACTTCTATTTTTGTTTAAGCTATTTTTCTGAATTTTCCTCTAGAATGCAAAGTATCAGACAATGGTAATGGCCGCAAATAATCTTGAGAGGAGTGACCTAGACTGGCTAATGACCTAACAGAACCATTAGCAATAGGAGGAGGGCATTCCCAATCTTAGTTTTTAGCAGAGTTGGCAATAGAGATGGTTAACATTGGATCCCACACTGTGCTAAAATACTTTGTGTACCATGGAGAACATTGCCAACCTATGTCCATGGTGATCATATAATTAATTGCAGAAATAACTATTCTGCAGTACACTGGTATAAGTTAGAGCCAGTTTGGTTTAATGGATAAGGCACCAAGCTAGAAAGCAGGTGGCTATGAGTTCAAGTCCCACTTTAGTCTGGGTGACTTTGGGCCAGTCGCTCTCTCTCTCAGCCCAACCCACCTCACAGGGTGGCTGCAGTGGAGAAAATAGGAGGAGGAAGAAGGCTTTGTTTGTCTCCTTGAGTTATGTATAAAAATAATAAAGGTGGAATGCAAATAAAAATACAGTCACCTAAAGCAAACAGACTTCTCTATGGAGGGGTGTATTGTGCCAACTGAAATGTTTGCCTCAGTTTTCTCTAATCTTATATCCTTCAGCTGCACTGGCTCTATAACTTTCAGGATTTCTACCAGATTGAGAAATTTTAATTCACTAGAAGATACCATGAAATGTTACCAAAAATTCTAGTTTGGACAAATTAGGAGAAAACAGATACCATCACAAACAAAAGAATCCTGGGCCTATCTATTGATTTAAAAGTTGCATTCACCAAATGCCACACCAAACCTGGTCTAGCAAGAACAGATATGCATGGAGTTAACAGTACCTTTAAAAAGATGGTCTGAGTTTTCCCACAATATTTGCCAGATGCTTCAGGACATGTTGAATGTAAAATCTCATGAGCAGGAACACGTGCATAGGCCAGTCTCTTCTCTCCCCGGATCATCCATATAAACACGTCAGGCATACTGTTTTGTGGCTTTGGGTTTCAGTGAAGAAGAGAACAATGAAATAGCTTTATTAGTCTTGCTAATATCCGACATTATTTGTAGACCTCCTTGGAAATGCCTGATGAGCGAACAGGCCCATTCTAAAGTGCTTCCTAGGCTAACTTGTTTTCAATGTCAGATGAAATGGAGCAGAGGTTGCAAAACTGTCATATATTGTATACTTACAAATGCCACTCACATTTGCAATATAGGCATGCATCGGCAGCACCGTCTGTACAAGCCACAATTATGGCAAAGTGTTGTAATTATGGTTCATGACATCAACATACAAATGACGCAATCATGTTACCAGCATTGTGGCAATTGACATAAGTAGGTAAGTCATGCCATTTATGTCATGGGATCAGGATGTACGTGTTGTCCTTAGCCCATGGGCGCCCAAGTAAATGTGTGTGTGGGTGTGGGTGCAAACACCCCCCCCCCCAATGCATACAATCCATTCACCTCTTCAGTTAGTTGTATTAATTTGTCCAGCCAATCTTCTATGTTTGGCAAAGTGGCCTTCACATCCATGGCTTCATTCCTGAGTCTAATTGCTGCTTCCTGAATCTGATGGAGGGACTTGACCCGCAATTTGAGGATCTGTGTGTCAAGGACGGTGACATTCTGCTTGCCTTCTAAGCGAGGCAACTCCTTACTGAAAGGAAATGCCAGTAATGTTCAGCAATTAAATTTCATTCAGCAAATAGTTAGAAGGTCATAAAAATTGCCACAAACTAATGCAATGTAGTAACGCCCCAGGGGCCTTAAGAAACCATGATGGAAAACTCTAAATGCAACAAATGTACAAAGGGAAAAACTGTTTTCAAAAACAGCAGGGTTTATGACTGGTGCATTTCAGAAAATAATATTCCTTTTGTTGGGGAAGATTCTTCAAATGAAAATACATGAATATAGATGTGAAAATAAAAAGACTAAATACTTCAACTATTTAAACATTTTATTAAATTTATTATTATTAATAATTGTTAATTATTATTATTTATTCATTAAACATGAAACTCAGTCAACTGAACATTTAAAAATATATCACAAATATCATTGATTGGCGTTGGTGGTTGATTCGGGTTGCTGCCAGTATCAACCAAGTATCTTCTTAAAATGTACTATGTTCCGAGTAGTGCAGTTTTTTGCAGTTCCGCTGGTGTTATTGCAGAAAGCTGCAATTTATTGATGTATTTTGTAAAATTCTTGGACATGTTACCTAATGCTCCAATGAAAATGGGTATCACTGTTACACATATCATTGACTGGCGCTGATGGTTGATACAGGTTGCTGGCAGCATTCTAGATATCAACCAAGTATATTCCTAAAATATACAATTATTATTATTATTATTCATCACACAGTCAGCCAGATGTTCAGACTGGGTTTGGCATTTTTGTCTACCCACTGAGTCCTTACCAAGGACCTGGGACAGGCAAATCTGGATGTTTGATGGTGTTACAGATATTGCCGCAGGATGGAAGCTGTTCCAAGTAAAGCTGCCTTCTGCAATTGATTGATGGCAAATTTGTCAATGCCTATGGTGTTCAAGTGGTGCTGCAGTTGTTTTGGGACTGTACCCAAGGCTCCTATTACTATTGATAGTACCCTTGCTTGCCTTTGCCATAGTCGTTCTATTTCTATTTGTAGGGCTTTGTACTTGTATTTCTTATTTTTGTTTAATTTATTATTATTATTTTAAACACCGACTTCTTTTTTCTATAGAAAAAAAGTACAGTATACAATTATATTTACAGCCACTTGGAACCAATAGGGATTGGTCAAGTGCTTCTCTTTATTAATTTGAATCTTTATTATAATCACTGACCAGGATTCTACAATAACCAAAAATTAAAATAAATAGTTGCTATTCTAAATAAAATAAGTTTTAATTATAAGTAGAGGTGAGGTGAGGTGAGGTGATCTGGGATTGTCTAGTTTTAGGAACAGCACAACATAATTAGGCACATTCAAGGAAATGAAATCACATTGATCTTACAACAGTCATTGTACACAAAATGTCAGAATTATCTGGGTACTTTGCCAGATAGGAAGTTATAAAGCAAGTGTACAATATAACAGGCCACAAGCTGTGGATCTGATGTAGTGTACTCTACAAAAACACAATCCTAACTCATAAGGCTGTGGTTTTGTGTGAGGGGGGTGAAGGAAGTTGTATTTGTGCTTGTGCATTCAGTCTGAATAAGGAGCACAACTCTGAGAAGAAGAACCATGTTTATTAAGTCATTTGGTGCTTGCTTTGCAAGAGAGTTCCTAAATAATGGAGAAGCAAAAAATGTTTATAGAAGTTGAGGGCTACAAGGTGGGAAATCCTAGGGATTTGCAGGAGAATTTGGGAATCTAGGCAGTTTCTTGTCTGGATAACTGGGTTAGTACTACAGTTAAGCAAAATGGGCCTTTCAGCAGGCAGCAGAAGTGAGGACATTCATTGCAAAGGAGATATGATTGAATGTTGAGGTCTCAATAGAAGATACTTTTAGCCCAGGGTTGTACTGTGGAATTCTTGGTCCTTTGTTGTTTTCAGCCAAGCTGAAAACTTTTAAACTGAGTTGAAAACTGTTTAGTTTTCAAAACAACCAGGTTGGGAGAGCAGAGCACCAAGGACTTCATAATGTTGAGATCATCAGCTGATGGAAGATTGAAAGTTGGAGTTTCTCTTTTTTGCAATTTCCTCGTAAGGATTGCCCTTGTGTTATGCTGTGAGCTAGTGAGGAGTCTTCTATTCTTTGATTTTGATGGGACTTTGTCTGAGGCATGGAGGATCAATTTGAGCCCCATAGAATTGGGCAAAGAGATGACCTGAGTTTGACCCTGCTCATATCTAAAAGTTTGGTGGGAGAGAAGATGAAGCCTCCATTTTTGTCTGTCAAGATTTATTTTCTCTTCTACATCCTCAATAACAGTCGTTGGCATTGAAATATGCTAACACTAGCTCGATACCCATGCTTCGCTACAAAACTATGTGGTCGGGCTTAGCTTTTGGGGAGGAAAATCATACCTCTGCCTACCAGCATCCATCGGTATTCATCAGTGTGTGTGAGGGTTGAGGGCTGTTTGGAAACTGAAGCAGTATTTGCTGTGTGAGCAAGGAGACAGCAAGGAGCCTGGGCATGGCTTAGCGCAACTGTTTTGTACTAAAACTGCATGTTGCTCTGAAACTAAAACTGAAACTGAAACTCCTCTCCTCTGCTTGTGTTTTGCATTTGGAACAGTTTTCTTTTCAGGTGGGGAGGGGGAGTAGAACTCCTTAGCATCAGAGCATGTTAATAATAATATATAAAATACTAATGCTCTGATCGTCATTTCAAAAAATCCTTTCTTAGTGAGCACCTAGAAGCCAAGAAGAACATACGTGCCAAATTTCAAGTTTGTAGGCTTTACATTTCTGGAGATTTTGTGAAGATGCATGAGTGGTATTTCGCTTTTATATATATAGAAGATTAGTAGTCTTTGGAGTTTTTGTTTCAAGTATCTTGCTGGCTTAAAAAGGAAGATATAATAGGTAGTACATGTGTCTGGGTAGGAAACATTGATCTAGTTGCGCTTCCAAATATCTAGCACATTGCTTAAGCATGGTAACTACTTAGTTGTATCTCAACATTGGAATGGTCCTCTCTTGAAACCTATCATGTAATTTTGGAGGGGATGTCCTTTTTCATGTAGGCTGAGACAGATTGTTTGGCCCAGAATCACCTAGCCAGGTTCCATGCATAAGGAGGGATTAGAACTCACAGTCTCTCACTGATTGGCCCAGAGTCATCCAGCTGGCGTTCATGCCTAAGGCGGGACTAGAATTCGCAATCTCCTGGTTTCTAGGCCAGCACTTTAACCACTAGACCAAACTGGCTTTCAGGTACAGGAATACTTAGCAATCTTAATTTTGAGGCAGCCACAGAGAAGAAAGATTACAGGAGAAGCTTACCTTAGGTCCACTATAAGTTCATCGATCAGCTCCAAACGTATCTTTACCAATTGATTTTCTGCCATCTTTGCTTGTATTCCTGATTTTAAAGCTGTTAGGTTTGCTTGCTAGGAAGGGAAAGAATTGAATAACCAATGCCATTTTTCATTTTTATAATTCACCAAAACAACTCTGGAAAGATCTATCATAGTTGAATAAGTTTATTACAAATATTGCATATTATATCTCTATGTAGGACAGAAGTCAGCAACAATTAAGGCCTTCAATGATTTTCCCCTTGCCTGAAATCTTACAAGATTTCTATGATTTATACTTGATGAAAACTCTGAAATATCACAAAAAACACTCAGTTAGAATCTTTGGCATTCTTATGTATGGTTTAGAAATATTATGAAATTGTAATATTTTGTGTTTAATGTAACTGGGGATAGCACAGTTATATTAGAGGTAACAGACCATCCATAAAGATAAAGATGCTGCATTCCAGCCTATTCTTGGAAACTGGATATAAATCTAATGCTGGAAATTCATAATACATGCATTAACATTAAATAGTTAATAATAATAATTTATTAAAATAGTTCCAAACTACTTACCAACTTTACTATCATGGCAAGAATCAAGTTTAAAGGATCCAATCTGTGACTTATATCCTCCCAGTAAGAAGTCAGTGTTACTACTGGCTTTATGTTTGCCCATGGTAAATAATAATAATAGTTTCCTAAGACGAAATATTGATAGATGAATAGTCATTTATTTATTTAATGAGGTTTAAATTCCACTTTTACTCAGGAGCTCAAAGTAATATATGTACACAGCATTTCTTTCTCCAGTTTTTCCCCACAACAACCCCACAAGGTAGGTTGTTTAACAGATAACAGATAACAATCAGAGTTGGAAGGGACCTTGTAGGTCATCTAGTCCAACCCCCTGCCCAAGCAGAAGAGCCCACACCGTTTCTGAAAAATGGCAGTCCAATCTCTTCTTGAAAGTCTCAAGTGATGAAGCTCCCACAACTTCCAAGGGCAAGCTATTCCATTGGTTGATTGATCTCACTGTCAGAAAGTTTCCAGGTTGAATCTCTCCTTGTGCAGTTTCCATCCATTATTCCTTGTCTGGCCTACAGGTGCTTTAGAAAATAGTTTGACCCCTTCGTCCCTGTGGCAGCCCCTCAAATATTGGAACACTGCTGTCATGTCTCCCCTGGTCCTTCTCTTTACTAAACTAGCCAACTAGGTTGTGCTGAAAGAGAATGACTGGCCCCTGAGTTATAAGTTGAAATTCACACATCTCAAAGTTGTGGAATTAAGGAAACACTAGTCTAGCTAGAGCATTTAGATTTCCAGGTGTTTTCTAACTGTAAATTTGACCTGCAAGCTTTTTTTTTCAAGATCAGCTAAGGTCATCTAAGTGCTGCAACTAATATTGTAGCTTACAAAAAGGAAGCAAATAACAAAGTATCAAATGGAGAGAGAGAGAGAGAGAGAGAGAGAGAGAGAGAGAGAGAGAGAGAGAGAGAGAGAGAGAGATTTCATACAATTTAGGGGTGTAGTCTAAAAGTCAAAATGGAAGCCAAAACTGTGTTATCAAAACATTGCCTGCTTTTTTGTCTACAGCCCTGATCTACATACAAAATGCAAAAAATATTTCCTCCTTAAATAGATCACCATGGTGGGATCCGCAACTGCAGTACTCACCATCAAATATGGCCCGGCTGTACTGTGTGGTTGATGCCAATGGTTTACAGGTGTTGTCAAATTTATTGCCATAATTGCCAATGCTAACTTCAAACTGGATGGGCTCTCCAATATCTTGCAACATGGTGGCAGAATGAAACACAGCACAGAGACTGTATTTTCTTCTGCGCTGATATTTCTGGAGGATCAACAAACATATTGGCTTACTTATACTACTGACTGAATCTTACCATAAGGTTTTAATGGATTAATTATTAAAAGAGAGGGGAAAAAAGCTTCAGAACATACATTCCATTAACATGGAGAATAGTGAAATTTTTAAAAACTCCCTTTTTATGACCCTCTAGTCCCTATTCGGAGTAGGGTTAGGTTAGGGAGATTAAATGGAGCTGAGCGTTTACTGGCCCGATACCTTTCCTGATGCCTATGTGGAGTTAGCAGCAGATACTTCTTCTTTGTGTCCTAGGACAAAAACATCTGCTACTACCTAGGATCAAATTTTCAACTTTTGGAGGCAAGCATCTTTACCAATAGGCCTCCGCACCAACGTGGACGATAGTGAAGTACCAAAGACCTAATTAAATATAGCGGTATATAAGTCTAAGTGTTGCTATTGCTATTATATTGGGGCCTGATTGAAATGTAAGTAGGCTGGGCCAGGGCAAAGAATTATGTAAGAGCGATATAGACAGGGGTGGGATTCAAATTTTTTATCAACTGGTTCTGTGAGCGTGGCTTATTGGTGGGTGTGGCTTGGTGGTCATGTGACTGGGTGGACGTGGCTTGGTGGTCATGTGACTGGCTGGGTGTGGCCAACTCAATATCACTCACATTGAGGCACGCATCTCCTCGCCTGGCGTCTCATGACTGTGGGGTTGCTGCAACAGTCATAAATGTGAAAAATGGTCATAAGTCACTTTTTCCAGTGCCATTGTAACTTTGAATAGTCACTCCAAACAAGCAAAGTACCAGCAAAGGAGGGGAAAAAAACTCTAGAGAAGTTCCTGAGACAGGAAGTCTAGTCCTGCCAAGAACGTAAAAAGGGTTAACGGAGAGGCAGTTTCTATAAGCAACACCAGAATGTTTCCTTCCTGCCTTCCTTACAGGATTAGGCCAGTAATTTCTTCTAACAACCGGTTCTCTGAACTGCTTAGAATGTTAACAACCAGTTCTAGCAAATAGATATGAAGTGGTAGAATCCCACTCCTGGGTATAGAAACATAATTTCATTTAATTTAAATTAAACCATGAAAGTTAAAATAGTACAATATAATAACTACCTACCATGTTATTTAATGGTTTTTATTTATTATATTATTTTTATTTATTTTATCATCTTAAAAGTTATAGACTATGTAGCCTTGTCCACAGACTGGGGTCAAAAAAGTCAAGATGGTAGCCAAGATCATATGAATAGAGTCTCACCCTTTTTTTTTTTATGCATTGTATGTGCTGCTGCCATTTTGATTTCCTGCAGATGCCCTTATACAGGGCAGATGAAAACTGCAGTTCTGGAAGGGTATGCTAAGAAAATACACTATAATTCTTAACAAGCAGGTGGAATGTCTCATATGATTTACTTTACTGTCTTAAAGTCAGTCCATGCAAAACTTCTGTCCCCTGTATTGGAAGGGAAAGATAGCTAACCATATGTGTGCATGCATATGTGTGCGTGCATGTGTGTATACATACATATACATACATATACACATATGCATACATACATACACACATATATGTTTTTCTGTGCTTTTATTGCATCCCCCTCCCCCAAATAATGTTACGTGGGGCAGAATACTTCATTAGGCATTTGACTGCAATAAATTGTAAGTATATTGTTAGCCCTTCACTGTGTTCTATATTATCTATCCATCTTTCCATCCATCCATCCTGACCTCTATACCCCAATGGTCAAAATAATAACAAGTTAAATTATAATTAACTGGCAATTTTAGATGATATTAGGAGGTACATCTGATGCTTTTCCAGGCATACATACAGTACTAATTCTTCCATTACTATTACTGTTAATCCTCCCATCCTTCCTTTCACCCATCCCACTTAAGACTGTATGACTGTAACCTTGTTGCTTGTATCCTAACGATTCGTATTGACTATTTCCTAGTATGATTTGATTGCTTATTGCACCCTATGACTATTATTAAGTGTTGTACCTTATGATTCTTGACTCTTGGCGAATGTATCTTTTCTTTTATGTATACAGAGAGCATATGCACCAAGACAAATTCCTTGTGAGTCCAATGATACTTGGCCAATAAAGAATTCTATTCTATTCTAATTTGTTCACTTTCGTAACACAATGCATTTTGTTGTCAACCTTATACATTTGATGGGATGGTTTGTAGCCCTGGTAACATCGTGGATAAATGCCTGCATCATTTTCTTGGCAAAAACAAGAAACAACAGTTGTGTTGGGTTGTGTTTTTTTTTGGCAAAGCTTAGTTTTGCTGTTTGAGCCACGAGGAGGGTACTCATTGTGGGAGAAGGTTGACAGGATAAGGCGATCTCATCTCCATGCCATCTGTCTCTGTGGTTCTGACTTTTTGATAGTTTTAACATTTTAATTTGTATAGTTTTAAATTTTGAATGGCTTTTCTACTTATTGCTTTATGTTCTGAAGCTGTATAGAGTCATCCTATCGGGGAGATGGGCAGCATATAAGTTTAATTTTATTTTAAATTGTCCAATCTAGTTCATAAAAGCTTATAGCCTGGGATTTTCTGATGATGTCTAACAGACTTTTAACATATTAACAGAGTTGGAAGGCACCTTGTAGGTCATCTAGTCCAACCCCCCCACCCCACCCCGCCCAAGCAGGAGACCTTACACCAGTCTAAGCAGTAGTCTGTTCCAAACAAGAAACATTAGCTAGATGATGCTTCTTTCTATGATAGATGTTTACTGAGAAACAAAATGCCACTTACCTCTACAATTAATACATCATTGCTGGGTATAGTTTCAGTTTTATTCGCTTGTGGTTTGCTATCGAGCAATGTAGAAAGTTCAACCAGGATTCTGCCTCTGTAAGAGACACCTTCTCCCTGAAACCCAAGCAATTTACTTCAATGTATAGTTGGCATAATATTGCTAACATTACAAATACAGCACCATATTCTTCAAATCCCATAGATCAGAATAGGAGTTGTTTTGTTTATAAATACATTGACAATGTGCAGTTCCAGCGTTGCTATTGAACCCAAGAAAGCAGGTTTCAGCACGTCTCATAAGATGGGAGGTTTGTTTTGAGCTTTTAAAGGTTTAAAAGAATCTTGAATTTTGGTTTATTTAAAAATGACTCTCTTCTCCTGGTTGTGTTAACAGCCATATATTGTAACCATCTCCTGAGCTGCTGTTGGTGGAAAGCAGTGTGAAGCCTCTTGTGTGCCACCCTCTGGCTCTTATAAATAGGGGCAAGGAAACTTGTCCAAGCAACAAGGTTGTGTGTGCATATATGAGTCTCTCTCCAGCATAAGAGGGTATATTCTAGACCCTAGGCACACTTGAATCATTTGTCCTTAGATATTTATATCGACTTGTTCACTATTACTCATGCCCTTGTGACATCCTATCTGGATTACTGCAATGTGCTCTATATAGGGCTTGAAGAGCATTTACAAGCTTCAGCTGGTGCAAAATGCAGCTGCATGGGAAGCAAATGATGTCAGTTGCTTGGCACATGTAACACCACTACTTCATGGACTGTAATGGTTGCCAGTATGCTTCTGGGTGCTGAATAATAGAATAACAGAGTTGGAAGGGACTTTGGAGGTGTTCTAGTCCAAACCAATGCTCAAGCAGGAGACCCTATACCAGGGGTCTCCAACCTTGGCAACTTTAAGCTTGGAGGACTTCAACTCCCAGAATTCTGGGAGTTGAAGTCCTCTAGGCTTAAAGTTGCCAAGGTTAGAGACCCCTGCCCTATACCATTCCAGAGAAATGGCTGTCCAACCTCTTCTTAAAAAGCTCCAGTGATTGTGCACCCACAACCTCTGAAGGCAACCCATTCCATTGATTAATTGTTCTCACTGTCAGGAAAATTCTGCATAATTCTAGGTTGGATCTCTCCTTGATTATTTTCCGTTCATTGCTTCTTGTCTTGCCTTCTGGTGCTTTGAAAAATAGACCCCCCCTCTTCTTTGTGGCAGCCCCTCAAATATCAAAACACTGCTATCATGTTGCCTCTAGTCAGGGATGGGATCTGACTGGTATAAATACCGGTTCTGTCCCTCTGCATTGCACCCGGACAGCTGAGCAGTGCTGCGTGCAGATGCGCAGCGGTTGGAAAAGCCCTTTTTTCCTGCTTTTTCAACCGCAGCTGAGTCGCGCGACTGAGCTGCGGTTGAAAAAGCAGGAAATAAAGGTCAGATAAGAGCCCGGGCGGGCTGGTGGGCCAAAACAGCAGCAGACATAGAACCGGTTCTATTTATGCTCTCTGTTTGCTGCTTTTCAGAGCAACCGGTTCTATAGAAGTGGACAGAACCGGTAGAATCCCACCCCTGCCTCTAGTCCTTCTTTTCACTAGCCTCAACATACCCAATTCCTGCAACTGTTCTTGATATGTTTTATTCTCCAGCCCACTAATCATCTTTGTTACTTTTCTCCGCACTCTTTTCAGAATGTCAACATCTTTTTTATATTGTAATGACCAAAACTGGATGCAATGTTCCAACTGTGGTTCAAGTGCAATTCAAGGTCTTTAAAGCCTTTCATGGTTTGGGACAGGATTACCTGAGGAGCCATCTTTTCCCAGTTATTTTTAGCTGTCCAATCCAGTCAGCAAGATGAGCATGCGGCAGGTACCATCGGCCAGGGGACACAGGACGGCCCCATCCTGATGGCCTTTCAAAAGCCTCTAAAGACCTGATTATGTGCCTTCTTCTTAAGCATGTAGGGTTTTGTGTCCTGAAGTGTTAACATCTGTTGACATTCTCCTTGGCTGTCAGCTATATGTATTTTAATTTTTGTAAGGTAAAGGGTCCCCTCGCACATACATGCTAGTCATTTCCGGCTCTAGGGGGGTTGTGCTCATTTCCATTACAAAACCGAAGAGCCAACGCTGTCCAAAGATGTCTCTGTGGTCATGGGGCCAGCATGACTAAACGGCGAAGGCGTACGGAACCTTCCCACCAAAGTGGTCCCTATTTTTCTACTTGCATTTTTACATGCTTTCGAACTGCTAGATTGGCAGAAGCTAGGACAAGTAACGGGAGCTCACTCCATTATGTGGCGCTAGGGATTCGAACTGCCGAAATGCCAACATTTCTGATCGACAACCTCGGTTTCCATCTGGCCGATTTCACGGCCAAGCAATTTTCGTACGGCCAAATTTCCGGCCAAATAAATTTGGCCGGAGACATCATTTTTTTCACGGCCAAGCACATAGAAATACGACCAGATTTCTCGAATTTGGCCGGAAAAACGGCCAGATGGCAACCCTGTCGACAAGCCCAGCATCTTAGTCCCTAAGTCACCACATCCCTTTAATTTTTGTATTATGATGGAAATTTTGTTTACAAATTATCTTATGATTGTTTGCCACCCAGAGTCACTTGGCTGAAATGGGAGTAAGTAAATAAATAAGCAGCGTATTGTGCTCCAGCAAAACATTGGAAAAAATAATAATGCAAATATTCCGTTAGACTAGAAACTTTCTGGTATATCCAGTGCATGAATTTCCAATTCAAATGCTGACATCTTAAAACTGAAATCTTTGAAAAAATATGGAGCCAAAACAGGAGACGTAATTAATCAAATTGTATCCTACATTGAAGCATGAAACTATAAATTAGTTATTTTCTGCAAATAAATCCAACTATCTTTTATCAAGGGATGTATTTTTTATACTGCCTAGAATTGCATGATATTCATTGTTCACCTATATCATTCACACTTAAATCTGAAAAAAATAGCACAATACATGTCAATTTTTGCATAGGGTTTACTTTTCATATTAAATGGAAAAACCTCAACACACTGAACCTTCATAATAGCTGGGGCAAAATAATTTCAATATTTTAAATGTGGAAGAATTAATTTCTGTATTATTTTGGAAAACAAACTCAGACTCTTTTTACGAAAAGGAATATACTTTTAAAAACATTTGTGTGGAAACAAAATTGCAAAAAAAAAAATATTACGGTATATTTTCTCTAGAAATATTCAAAAACCAACCTTTCCATAATTTAGGTCATCATATGGGTCTGGAAATCCAGTATATTCTCTTGGACTTCCATAAAGGTTCAGGTAACAAGGTCCAAATGTTGGTAAGAAGCCCACTTCGGTTTCTCCAGTATTTGCTAATAAGCAAACATCATGATTAGGAGACATTAAGGCTCACAGTGTGATAAGTTACAGCAAGGTAAAATGTAAAATATTAATGGTTAGTAAAATGGGTTTTTTTAGTTTACGCAGAGAAAGTTTAAATATTAATGACTATGTCCGTATATATAGCCATTCTTAATCTATCAATTCCAGCTGTCCAAGCCAATTCCAGTGTATGCCTCAGGTTGGGAAGAGGCAGCCACTAGGCCTCACAAGGAAGCCCATTGCAAAGTATCAGTGACTGAGCAAAATCATGGCATAAACATGACGGACTAGCTATCTTATGAACAAGGACTTCTTTATTCATAGACTTGCCACAGATTAAAGCCAAGTGCCCAGGATCATAGAGCTGGAAAGCCTATTTAGCCCCAAACTCATTGATATGTGTCTGAGCAGGCTTAGAAGCTGGGTGGAAGAACTGGTTTTCCTGGCAATTCCTTTATTTTGCATTCATTTCCCTCCAAGTTACATTGCAATATATTTTCCACAAAACCACACTATACGATGGCTGGGCTATCCAATATTATACTAGGTCATACTTGGCGGTTAACACTGTTCAACTTTTTGTACTTTTACTGAGCCAAGAGAAGCACTGAGATTTAAACCACCAACCAGCCACAGCTCTTTTTGCAGCGTAGATATTGTATAGCCAGATCGTTGAAATAATAATAGCACTAAAACTCTGATATACAGCCATGCAAAAGCCAAAAGCATTTTTTTTCAATTATGCCAAGCTGATTAATGTTATTTACACAAAGATGAATGTATTGCTGCAGCCATTAAAGCAACTTTAAGCAATAATTTGGGTAATTCTTTTGATTTAAAAGAAATACTACTTTGGACCAAAGAAAGCAAATCACATTACACTCCAAGATATGATTATGAACCTTCATATGATGAAGCCCCAGCTCCCGAAGATGAAAGCTCTGCATTTTATAAAAAGACAAGAGATTGCTTAGGAAATAAGACAAGTATTCAGCAAATATAATAAACATTTTACTCAACATTAATCTTAATAAATTGGGAGTGTCAGCACTGATAAGAACTTAAAAAGAGCTTCACCAATTCATTACACAATCATTATGGAGATAATCATACATTATGTTATCATGGTATGACTACAATAAATTGGACAGTGAGGAGCACTTAAAAATATTCCTATCTCGTCTTTTTAAATGTAAAGTGTTCCTAGCAAGGGTGTCCACAAAGCACTATAAAAAGTCAAGATGGCGTAGTACTATTTCCTGCTATGTTAGGTTTGATGTTCTTACTATTGTTTTATTTTATAAGACTTACCCATTAACTTAAACAAGAGATAAAGTATGAACAAGACTGAACCATCATCCACACTATTCTGAATGGTTTATACAAATCACAGATGTTATCAAGTAAGAAACATGCAATCAAACCACATAGAATTTAAAACAGATTTCAAATTATTTTCACAAAGTGGAAAAGATATCACATGACTATCATTTATATGGAAAAACTAAAGTAATTAACTGTTACAAATACAATATTTAATCAGTATATCTTTTCCTCAAGAATAAAACATTCAGATTAAAAGAAAAACAATCCTTCCAAATTGGAATCAAAATAATAAGCTAAGAAACAATATTAAGTATCCATCCATCCATCCATCCATCCATCCATCCATCCATCCATCCATCCATCCATCTATCTATCTATCTATCTATCTATCTATCTATCTATCTATCTATCTATCTATCTATCTATCTATCTATCTATCAGTGTTCTGTGTCTTCCTCAATCTCAGGTCTTGGAGTTTGAGAGAGTTCTGTGCAGTATTTTAGCTTTTTCTAGCAGTGCAGTCTTCTGGACACAGAGCTTTAATACTATTCCTGGGATCTGCTAGAAATATTTTCAGTTTAGGAGTCATAGCCCTAAGTGTTCCCAGAATCACTTTGGTTTTTACTTTCCAATCCACATTCTCTCTAGTGCCTCCTTCATTTCCTTGTACTTCTCCAGCTTCTCGTACTCCTTCTTCCTGATATTGCTGTCACTTGGCTCCATTACACCTAACACTACCACTGTCTTCCCTGTTTTTGTCTACTACCATAATGTCTGATTGGTCAATACTTATTTTTCTGCCTGGATCTGGAAGTCCCACAAGATATTTTCTCCACAATCTTCTATGGAATCTCCTATCTGGATTTGGGAGGGACTAGTCCATACATTGTACTGATGTCCCTGTTCACAAAGCAAATACTTAGTTCTGCTATTCAGGGTATGCTGTTCCATCTTGCACCCTGCCACTAAGTATGGGACTGTCCCTGTATCATCTGTACCTTGGGTCCCATCTAGTGTGGTAGACTGCTTCTATGGATCTGATGTTTAGCGCCTATATTTGTGCTACTATGATCAGTGCCTCTCGGCTATCTTTTAGTTCAGCCCTTTCCACCCATTGGTAGGATTTCACAATGCCAGCAAACTCAGCTTTGCATACATGAATTTATACAAATATCTCTCTACCTGAATTGCTCTCTCAATAGCTCTATGTCTATATTGAGAATACAATATTTATGCTGTATGTGTGTATGTATGTAAGAACCTTAAACATCATTCTGAAAGGATAAGAGAACCAGTAGTATTTTATTTAAAGAAAGAATTCCACCATGTGCATCATTCTAATTAGCATGATTATTCCAGTTTAGACTTCTAATATTAAATCTGGATAAACCACAGCAAACTTCACCAAGTCTTTGTCCTGCAACATATCTAAGAAAATAGCACTGTTTCTCCTTTGTGTTCATCGTCTTTCTGTTTTGAATTTGTAATAGTTATTTTGAAGAAACACCTACTGTAAGAAAAGAGACTGGCTTACCTTCAACTTCTCCACCAGAGGCAGCTATTTTGGAAAGGCATAAATATGTAGTGCCTACAACGTCATTTTTTGTAAGACGATCCCTGCATTTAAATCCATCGATATTCATTTTAAATACACATTATTTTTAAATATTGTGTCTCTATAATACTCCCATTTAGAATACTATATATCTGTCCTATTTCCTTATATAGTGTGAAATGCTGAGTGTTGATTTGTATAAACAATTACTATATTGTAACAGTATAGAAAATGCTATATGGTCATATAGCTAATAACTTATGGACATGGGAAGGTTTCACTTCCACTGATAGCCAGCAGATGGCACAATATGCAATGTAGCATATCATCATTCTACAGTACACTACAGTATTTCTTTTAAAACAGGGATTTCTCTCAGTTCCTTATTCCCCACAATCTGAACCATCAACTAGAAATAAGCACAATTAACCACAAAACTACTCAAATATTTGCTGATAAAACTCAAGACTTTATTCTTTATTCTCAGTCACTCATGCCCTGGTCACCTTCTGAATGAATTACTGCAATGCACTCAAGATGTGGTTGGCCTTGAAGAATATTTTGAAACGTCAGCTGTTAGTTATTCATGCTTCTAGACTTGGACATGTTACATCACTATTCCACAAAATGTACTGGTTGCCATTTTGTTTCTGGGTCCAATTCAAAGTGCTGATTAATGATCTTTAGAGCCCTAAATGCCATGGGGCCAGGTTATCTGAGGGGCCACCTCTGACCTCTCTCTGGTTACATCGACCTGTTCAGACCTGGGTCTTGTCAGTCAAGGAGAGGAGACAGCCATTTCTGCTGTAGCACCCTCCCTTTGAAGCATCCCCATGAGGTGAGATTGGAGCCAGCCATGTTGGCCTTCCAGAAGGATCTTAAAACTGGGTTTTGTCACGGGGCTTGGGGAATCCCATGGAAGTTAAAACCCTGTTAAACGTTTGCATTGTGTTTACATTGAATGCATTCGCCTGCGTTTTTATCAAAGTTTTTGACTATTTTAATTGTAGTTTAATGGTCTTGTTTTTTTAAATCATTTTGAATTTTTTGTTTTTGACTATGTGTGCTTCTCAGAGTCACAATGTTAGAAGAGTGGTTATATAAATTTAATAAATAAATAAAGTTGACCAGTGACTGAATGAAAAGAAATTGTGTTAATTTTAAGCCAATTGTTTTAAAGTGATTTTTTCAAATAAATAGAACTACACTTTGCATTAGTGTGTTGCTTGCACAAAAGTAACAAAAACTATGTACAGCTTATGCAAAAATATTTGTTCTCAGAATTCTAACAGTTGCTTTGTAGAAGACTGATTACATAACAAGGAAGAGCTTACCAATCATATACCATCAGCCTTATTTTTTCACACATTGAGGGAAACTAGAAAAAAGAAAACTATGTTATTTATTGAAGTCATATTTCTTAAATGTGAAAGCCTAATTGTATAATAACATACTAGAGAACAAACCTTGATTTGAAGATTAATAAGCTGGTTCCACTCAGGGTTAGCATTTTTTTCAATTATATTGGTGCAAACCTGCCAAAGAAAAAGTCCGTTTCCATTTAAACCAAATTGATTCTATTTTTAATCCTTAATCTTTATTATCCAGAAAGATCTAAACCTAACTCACATGACTAGACTTGCTCATCCTGTTAATATTAGCTAACTCAGAAACTGGACCTCAGGCATTTTATTCTTGAATGGCAATAGAGCAGGAGTGATTCAAAGGGAGAAATGTCACTAGAGTGTGTGTAGTCCTTCAGATAGAACCAGGCTAGTACTCCATAGAGCAGCCTTTCATGTCTTCAGCTAGCATAAGTCAATGATCCTGAAAGAGCCATCTTTGGTTTACAAGGTGCTCAACAGATATGAGTTGTATATGCCTCAAATATTCTGAGTATATACAATCTGATCCCTTCCCCATCTTGGTTAAATTGAAATTCTTTCCATTTTGTGCAATGAGGACTAGGAATGCTAGAAGCTCCCAACCAACCGGTGGTGGTATTCTACCGGTTCAGCCCGGTTCACCCGAACCGATAGTAAAAAAAAATTGAATCCCACCACTGCAACCAACCCATCTAAAGGATAGGTCAAGAAGAGAAAAATTCTGCTAAATATTGCAGTACAACAGAGTTAAACTTTCTCAGTTTTTTTCCAGTGTGATCCTAAGGAGATGGGCCATGCATGAGTTGAGCCTTACTTCTGATGTGTACCTGGATGCTATCATGTATTTTTCTTGGCCACAATTTGCAAAAAGTCTGACAATGCCTTTTTACCGGGATAATTTTTGACTTCCCAATTTACTCCACAGCCCTAATGGCAGTATTTTATCCAAGTAGTAACTCTACTTACTTTTTAATAGACAAGGTCTTTTCAAGCAACATAAAATACATATATTTCCATATGATTTTTTTTCCTTAAAGATATTAGTTGAAATACTTAATTCTGTTCAGTTCTATATATTTAACATATAACTAATGGTAACAACATACAATGATTTCTCTAAAAACTATAAAAATAATATAATATTAGCAAACCATACTTTGTTCATTTCTAAATAAATGTAATTTTATCCAAACCACAATAGATTTTTATTATTTGATCTCTGTGAAAACGTATTTATATCAGAACAGTTATCAGACATGGCTGTATACAATACAGCTATTAGCACAAAGTACCTTTTTTCCAGCAAAGCAAACTTCCACAAAGGGATCCACAAGGTTTTTCTTGTCACCTTCTCCTCCAAATATTTCTTTTACTGTCTGTGCAAAGGCATCATCCACTGGACAGATTTAAAAAAAACAACAGAGAATGAAAGAAGTTACCTTCCATTGCTCAAAACCTGCAGCCATGATTATATATTTGTGAACATGCAAAACAATGCCGTTGAGCACTAAATGCCACAGATGCTTAAACTATTCGATAAATCAGTGGTTCCCAATCTTGGTTACTTTAAGATGTATGAACTTCAACCCCCAGAATTCCTGAGCCAGCATACTGGCTGGGGAATTCTGAAATTCCACACATTTTTAAGTTGCTAAGTTTGAGAAATACTGCAATAAACTATGGCAAGTGGGCAGTCCTTTTTGCATTGTTTTAGCAGCAACAATTCTATTCCATTCCCTCTTTTCTTTCCCCTCCAACATTAAAGCAGTATCCTTACCCATTACACTTAATCAATTTTGAAATAAATGTTCATTATAATTTAAGAAAAAAACTATCAAGAATTTCCAGTTTCTGTTTGTTTCTCTGTTTCCTCCTTCGCCTCGTTGTCCTGACTCCTATTGGCAGGATGTTAACTGTCCAAATCAATGACGTTGTATTTTTGCCAAATGTCATTTTCAGCGAATCTACTTGATTCCCTTTCTTTTCTCTTTTTTCCCTAGTCACCTAGTCACCTGATTCCTGAATTACCCTGCCACCACTTTGTCCCAGAGATTTATCTGGGCTGTATCCCTTCAAACAGCAAATGAAAATTCACATAGCTGAACATTCAATACAAAAGTCTTTTGACATGAAATATTGATGTCAGGTTAATAAAGCTAATCTTTTTCTACGCATCCTTAATTGATCACAGAAATATTTACAGGCGTTACCAATCTCCTTTTGCCTTCCCTAAGTTTTCACTGCTATTTGTAGATGGAAAATCATAAGAAAACTGTAATATTATGCAATGTAAGTCCTAAAATGGTGTTTTTAAATACTGTAACCCCTGTCCAAGTCGGGGGGGCTGGGAAGGAAAAATTTTCTTTCTCTAAATTTGCCCACTTTGCATCATAACCTGTCTAATGTGGGCTGTGTTTCCTTTAATAAAAACTATTAAATGCCCCTGGAGACAGCACATTTTGAATCTACAGCAATATTTAGTTAACAATATTACAGAGGTTTCCAGCTGTAGACAAATGTGGTACATTCTAGATGCAGGTTTAATTAAGTCTCTCTGATTTGGGGGCCTTTGAAGTCAAATATATATGGATATTCTCAGTCATCCAGGTCATAGTTGTCCCAAAGGTATTTTTTCAATGCTTTCTGGTTTCCATAAAGTCCAGTTGCCTCTTGAAAATGCAACTTTGGGATTTCAAGTCAAATATCACTATCAGCAGCAGCAGTAGTAGCAGTTTAAGAAATCTACAAATATTTCTCTCCAATTTTCTAACATAATAAATGCACTTATTTTCCCCCATGTTAATAATATATAACTATGATACATACTCTGAGGAATATCTTCAGCTCTGTAGATTTTAAGAACAAAAGTAACCCATCGATGGACTATTCCAGCTGGGAGCAACAGGTTGGTTTCCACATCATCATTTTCATTCTCTCGTTCTCTGTTTTCCACCTGTTGGAGACATACTTGAGTTTTATTCTATTCTTTTTTCTTTTTGAAAGTAACCTTTCTTCCCAACCAGCTAATACCCCCAAAGATTGCAAAGTTATAGTTTTTCCTGGTTAGAGGAAATATGCTCAGGTAGTCGTCAACTTACTATCACAACTGAGCCTAAAATTTCTGTTGTTAAGCAAGGCAGTTGTTAAATGAATTTTGCCTCATTTTCAACTTTCTTTCCACAGTTGTTAAGTGAATCACTGCAGTTAAATTAAGTTAGGCCTGAGATATTTCCTAACTCTATTAATTTAATTTCATATATCCAACTGGTTTAGGTTTTGGACATCACAGCAGTATCTATGGTTGATTTTCTTAGATTTTTGCAAATAATGGCATCAGTTATTATCAATAGCATTTAATGAACATTGGAAATATATTGGTATCACAGGAGTAGCTAGAAATGCACTGAGCAATTAGTTATCCTTTCAGGAATGTCGTGTCCTCTCAATGTTTATACGTTGTAAATAATGACATTTAATAATGAGTTCTGGATAATAATATCTAATTCCTGCTTTAAACAGAACTTTTTAAAAGTCAGATAACAAGTGACTACTCTTCTACATTTATTTATTTGCTAAACAAAATGATATAGCTTATTTCCACATTAACAGTACCTTTGAAATTACAAAGATATCCTGCATCCCCATTTAGTTTCTCCATCCTATTTAAACATTGAACTTTTAAAGGAATCTTCTACTGAAATGACCGCTTCAGGACCTTTCATTGGTTGACATTGATAATATGAATACTATCCATGAATACTATTTATGAAAAATATGAATTTCCAGATCCTAATTTATATATACTATAGTTTATGCTGCTCAACTTTAGTTAAAACATGATTAGTTTTTAGTTTGTAAAATATGCAAAATACATTATCATCATAAAAAAATATAAAAAGCCAGCCTACAATGGATTCTTTATTCATTTTAATCTTGGAAAATATAAAGATCAGGCCAAATAAGACACAGCGATAATCAATGTGCATTTATTGATTATATTTATTTTCTATTTCAATTTTGGAGACCATATGTCTCATTAACAGAGCAACTCTGGGAAGTGTCTCAGATACCAATATGCACAGAAATATATCAATAGGTGTCCATCATACTCCTTACTCCCTTTTTAATACAATTATTTTTAATCAAAATATTTATTTCTAAGAGTATGCCTAGATGCCACAAAAAATTATCTAAACTGCATAGCTAGTCTAAGAAAATGAAGTAGTATGTGGCTGCCATCCAGTATTTTATTTGGAAACATATCTGACGTGGCATGCCAAGAAAAAAAGACATATAAGTTGTCTGCAATAACAGAGCTTCTGGAGGACTGGAAATAATGGTAGAAATAATTTCAATTATTTGTCTTCTTTAAACAGTGATTTTTAACTAGGCAAATTCAATCACAAAAAGTTGACCTTTTTCAGAGAATGCTTATGAAAATTGTGTCCAGACATCAGAATGTTCTAGAGTGGGAATCCTTGACATTCCCACAAAATATTCACATGTTCTTTTGCAACCGAATGAAACAGCAGGAATAAAGCAGCATTACGAGGAAGGAGAAGCTGAACCCAAGAAATGAAAACGTGAAAAAGGTTAAGAGGAGATGTACCTTCAAAAGGCAGCAGTGTTGAAGGCCATGGAAGAAAGGTTGTGCGGCGACAGAGTGGAAAGTAGCGGAATAAGCAGAACTAGGGAAAAGAAACAAAGGGTCAGCAGGTTCATTTTTTGAGTGTCTTCTACCATTAAACATAAAGCCTCACCCGGGTGTTAAAATGAAGTACCCAATTTAAGACGTATTGAAGGGGAAAAAAATATGCACATCTAATACACTTACAGGTGGCTCATCTCCTGTTCCAAGAACAAACATGCTGACTTTCAAGTAGCCTTTTGGACTTGAATTGGTGTCTTCAGGGTCATTCAAAAGCAGCCATTTTCTCATGACTGCATGGCCTGAAAGGCAAAAGAACATTGAACATGAACATTGAAGCCAAGTCAAATCGTGTTTACATGAATTTTTGTCTCTTGTAAATTGTGATGGTGGGAAAAAGAGTTTCTTCTGCTTTTCCTGCTGCTGATATGGGAAAAAGAAGATGTGAAACTGGAGCTGGAACTGACTTCAATGAATATTACGTCGACTGTTTGTATACTTGGATGCATAAGAGCACTAGGCATGCATTTAAAAATAAGAGCAGCATTTTCTCTTGGGTGAGTGCTGGTTCTACGCTACATTGACCAGATTAAACCAGAAAGGAGAGGTGAGTTCCACTGTCACCTTTGGTCACCAATGAACACAGGTGATTTTTCCAACATGGAGATTGTATTTACTTGTATTCTTTTGGGGAGGAACCTCATGCTGGCACTACTTCCAGAGATGCTGATGGCCATGACTTCTTACACCCAGCACTGCTCCCTCCTGCTTCACTCTGCATATCTGCTCCATAGTTGTTAACATGATTTATAGCCATCCCAGGATTCGAGAAAGAGTGCCAAGTAAACTAAGAAAGATGTCTCCCTATGCTCCTCTTCCACGCCATCAACCTGGGAGGCTATTTTTAGACATAGATGTAACCTATTCAGAAACAGCTCAGATGACAGGTCACAGGAGTGGAGATAAGTAATGGAATAAAGAAGGAAGATGTACTGATGCTTCTCCTCAATGCACTCGGAGAATAGTCTTCTGCTTCATTTCATGCCCGTAACCATCTGTAAACATCTAGGCCAGAGGTCTCCAACTTTGGCAACTTTAAGACTTGTGGACTTCAACTCCCAGAATTCCTCAGCCAGGTGGCTGAGGAATTCTGGGAGTTGAAATCCACAAGTCTTAAAGTTGCCAAGGTTGGAGATCCCTGATCTAGGCTATCTTACAACTTGGATTAGTGCTTTCAGTAGAGTGGTACACACATCTTTAGAAGCTGCTTGAGGAGTCATAGATATGGAGTATCTGGCACTTGATATCTATCATTCAGGTAACTGAAAAGTCAATTAAACCTACCACAACCGAGCAACTCATACTACCATATGTTAAAAGAGAAAAGCTGATGGTTGATTTTCCTACCAACAGTTCTATCAACACACTCCATATTTTTATGAGTGAGCATAGAATCTCTTTTTCTTTCAAAAAATCTTACTTTTAATGAATAAATACAGATTGTAATTCTAGTGCCCTGCTGATAACTGTAACATCAAAATATATCCCTTCTTTCTATGGTTGAATATACAGGCTAGATCAAGTCTTAAAATTAGCCCCATCCTAGTCAAGCCATCTATTACTAGATATGATTAAGTCTCAGTCAACCTAGGATATATTGTATGAAGATTACTTACCAGGTTCATCATAGACATAACCAACATCAATCTGTAATACAAATATATTAATATTATTGCCTTAGAGTTAATGATAGAGTAATCAAATAAATATAATACAATATATGTGGCTTTAAAATTCATTTGCTTCTGAATACCTCTTCTGTCACATGCAGTATAGGATCTAAATTTAAACATGTGTAACTAAAGTATATTTATATTAAAAGTAAGCCATACCCAAACTAATGCTTTATGGTGGCTACACAAACACAATCAATTGCCAAAACCGGTTATAGATATTAACCTTCTCACATCAATATGCTTAATGCTGGATCCAGATTTTGCTTCTTGTTCTTAAATCCAACAGAGTATTTTCACATTAATTCAGGCAGAGATAATGTTTTACAGTTATCAGAACTGGATAAATAATTTCTCAGCCTGAGAAAAAAAATGTAATAAAAATTTGGATCTTTTTCCCATTTCTTTCATTCTAGATTGGCAAGAGGAAAACTGCTCACACATTTACATTTTCAAAATTAAAAAAAAAGCAGATATTGCCTTGAACAAATGTCTTTAATGGGACATGTTTTGGTTCTTTGTCTTTTAATTTCCTGTTGAGTAAGCTCCAAATGAATTTATAGTGGAACATCAAGAAGGTTTACCTTAAATTCCCCCATTAAACTATCAGGACGCAAAGAATAAGAATCATAAACCTGAAATGAAGGAAATGAAGAAGTAGAATAAGTTATAACTTTAACTTAACAAAACGTAAAGCAATAATAAAGACAATCGTTCATTTGCCTTACCCGAATGCTTATGGTTTCATCAAAGAGCTCTGAAGGCGTCATATTGTGTATGTTGTAGAAAAATATCTGTTAGGAAGGGGAAACAGTTTTAGGCTAAACCTGCAGGAAAAACTGGGGTGTAACATAGAAGTGTTTGATGGTTACCCAGAGGTGGGCTTCAAAAATTTTAGCAAGGGGTTGCTCGGTGGGCGTGGCCATGGTGGGCACGGCCTTGTCGGCCTCCTGCACCACGGCGGGAAGGGGCATTTTTTGCCCTCCCCAGACTCCGGAGGCTTTCCTCGAGCCTCTGGGAGGGCAAAAACGGCCTCCCCAGGCTCCAGAGGCTCCCTGGAAGCTGGAAATGGGCCCATTTCTAGCCTTCCCAAACTTCCAGGAGGCCCATTTTTTCAGCCTCCTCCCCAAAAGAATACAAAAGGTTCCTCCCCAAAAGAATACAAGTAAATACAATCTCCTCTTTTTGAGCTTCTGTGCATCCAAAATGGGCCACATGGGGACTCCTAGGACGGGTGGGGGGGCAGTCAAGAGTGGGATTTGGGGGTTCTCCGAACTCAGAATCTTAGCTAGGGGTTCTCCGAAACCCCTGCGAACCCCCAGCAGCAGGGGTGGGATTCTACCAGTTCGCACCTATTCGCTACAACCGGTTGTTAACGTTCTAAGCAGTTTGGAGAACCGGTTGTTAGAAGAAATTACTGGCCTAATCCTGTAAGGAAGGCAGGAAGGAAACATTCTGGTGTTGCTTAGAGAAACTGCATCTCCGTTAACCCTTATTACATTCTTGGCAGGACTAGACTTCCTATCTCTGGAAATTCTCTGGAGCTTTTCCCCCTCTTTTGCTTGTGTGGAGTGACCATTTAAAGTTACAATGGCACTGAAAAAAGTGACTTATTCACTTACGGCTGTTGCACACTTATGGCTGTTGCAGCATCCCCACAGTCATGAGAGGCCAGTCGAGGAGATGCGTGCCTTGATGTGTGTGATATTGAGTTGGCCACACCCAGCGCAATAACATGAGCACCAAGCCATGTCCACCCAGTCACATAATCACCAAGCCATGCCCACATCTAAGCCACGCCCACAGAACCAGTTGTTTAAACATTTGAATCCCACCCCTGGGGTGGCCACGTGTTTGTGGAAACTTTCTGTTTTTCCTGTTTGGGGATGCATGCTTAGGGAGGACACCTGAGTTATGTTATGTTGAGTTTACAATTTTTAGTGTTTGTTATCTCATCTTGACCCAAAACATTGCAATCTGGCAATCCTAGCTCTGTAAAGAGGTCAGATAGCTACTGTACAGCAGCCCTGGAATCTCAGATAATCTATTCAATGTACACACTGTCATAAGCTGTGAGAATAACCTTGAGGAAGAGGCAGAAAAAAAGAGGCATTAAAACCACAGCCAATGAAATGGTCAGATAAGAGAAATCTGGATCAAGAATGGAATTTGACAAAGTATTTTAGATCTGACCCTCTCTAATTCTCTACAGCAGGGGTCCCCAACCACCGGTCCGTGGACCGGTACCGGTCCGCGGAACAACTCCTACTGGGCCGCGGCTTGCTGGGCGCCGCCATCTTTTTTTGATGAAAACGTGCTTCCGGTGAGGTCACCGGAAGCACTTTTTCATCAAAAAAAGATGGCGGCGCCCAGTTGATGCCGGTACCGGGCCGCGGCGCCCAGCTGATGCCGGTACTGGGCCGCGGCGTCAAAAAGGTTGAGGATCACTGCTCTACAGGATAAAGAGTGGGGGGTGGGGTAAGAATTATATATGTTATACTTACCTCATCAAAATAGGGATTGTTTCCTCTTTTAATTCTTGTTCTGTGAGTCTGACCACCAATATGTACTTTTACAACTGGTTTTATGTTATTCCCAGACAACTGACGGCCTTCAATGACCCTAACACGAATCTGGTAACAAGTAACAATGAGATATATATTAAATGGGTGATATTTTCTATTAATTGGACATTATCAATTGAATTTCAATAAATCTCATTATCTGAAATAATTATTTTATGCATAAAATACATTTTTTTTCTTAGAAGGGGTCTGTAGGATTCTTCAGACAGTTACAGGAATCTATCTCACCAAAAAGTTAAAAATCCCTCATTTAGAGACTAATGCTTCAGTATTTTTCATAATTAGCATAGTGGATATTATTAAGTTACTTGGAATGCAACAAGTATTCCCAGTCTTTATTCTTAAGTTCTCAAATTTATTTATACACTCCTTTGTTGTAATGAACTGGAGCCAAAAACATTACACCAGGGAAAAGAATCTTCCAAAACTGAAATAACAGCTTGTGGAAGAGATTTCTAAACAGAAAATAAATATGTTGCCCAAACTGTACTAACCTCAATGCAAGCCTGTGCCTTATATGTAAGAAGTAAGCTTCAGGTAAGAATACATGTGTCATTGAACTCAGTGGTGCTTACTCTAAGTAAAATTATTAGGATTAGGATTGCCGTATTACTGACAAAATTCATTATTGTCCAACCTGGAAATCTTGAGGTTTATTAGAAAGCACCCTGCGTTTTTTCTTTCCTTTGGTAATATGCTGAGCAAGCTGAACTTCACGGGAACTGCTTGGACCACCTTGGGGGAGAACTCCAGTTCCACCATCGGGTGTACCCTCATTACCGCCATCTTCTTCACCATCTACCAACAATTTGAAACGTTACTATCCTTGAAAACATTGTAAGAAAAACTCACGAGTGAAGGAACCTGAAAGATCCCAGCACTCATATGGACCTCTGAAAGTGCTAGTCTCCAGGGCTGAGTAAAATGAGATGGATAAATCATGAAATGGCGCCACCTTAAAAAATGGACGTTTCCAAGGATCGTGAGAATAGCATCTGCTTGCAGAATGATATGAGGCTGCTTCTGTATAGGAAAACTAAGTCTTGGCTGAGAGGCTCTCTCAGAAGCTATTAAAAAAACCACAGAAAGGTAAGTTAGTTGCTGCTGGACCTTGAAGCTGGCTGGGGAATAGGCCGAGTCATGAAAATCCCAGCTGTGGTTCTCCAGCGCCTGACAGAGCTAGCAGCAGAGTCGGACAGCAAGGAAGCTGTGGAGGAACCTGGGCCAGTCCTGGAGGCTGAGGAAGGCTTGGACCAGGGCTCTGCATCAGAGGCAGAAATGGGGGGCCAGGGCAGGCTGGCAGTCATCAGCAGCCTTTGGGCTTGGACAGCAGTGATGCAGGGGAGCTTCTGGAACCGGTTCCCAGCCTGTGCATGTGCAGCCAAAAGGAAGGAACAATTAAGAACTCAGGGTCAACGTGGGAGTAAGGCCACAGGTGGATGATGAATGGCCCCTCCCATCAGGATTAAAAGAGGAGCAAAAAGGGAGTTTTTTTTTTTTTTGCAGGAAACAACTCTCTTGTTCGTTCATTCATTCCAGCCTCATGAAGATGTGTAACCCAGCCCTTCTCTGTCAGCACAGCGCATGGAAATATTTACCGGGCAGCTTTCCAAGATAGATAAGGTCTGAGCTAATTAGTATGTCTTTGCAAGACTTTTTGCCAAGCTGCACTAAATTCACATCCACTTAATAAAAGAGGTTTTGCTGGGACTCAGAGTTGGATTAGTGCTTTTGAGGAAAGCCTAGGACAGAACAATCCCTGAGTGGCTGCATGGGAAGCAAACCCAAGGCCTGCAGGGACTCAGAGAGGCTGATTGGGTGGAGGAGATCGATGGGGGCACTGTTGTGTCCCTGCAGTTGGTCATAAGGGTGAATGACCATGGGGGTGTGTGTGCTACAGTGGCCATAACTTTGCAACCGGTTCATAAGTAGCCTTTGGGGTGGTCCATCATAACTTCAAAAAAGCACTAAGTCCTAAGTTAAAAGACTACCCGTAGTTTATCCAAGGTGAATAAGCTGGCAGGGGAATTTGGGGAGTGGAAGTTCATACATCTTAAAGTTCCTTAAGTTGAGAAACATTGTTCTAGATCGGGGGGGGGGTCAAACTCAAGGCCCACGGGCCACATCTGGCCCACAATGTGGGAATGGGCCTTTGCCTAGGAACAGCAAAAGACTGGCCTGTGGTGCCTCTGCAAGCAAAAACGGAGCTTGGGGGCAGCTGCACATGGCCCCTAAGCTCTGTTTTTGATGGCAGAGGTACTGCGGGCTGGTCCTTGGGTCACCGGCAGAGGGCTGCAGCTGAAAACGAGGTGAAGGGGGGGACTGTGTGCAGTCCTGCCCGGCTCCATTTTTGCTGGCAGAGGGCTATCAAAACAAACTAAAAACAAAACAAAAGGAGAAATGTTTCCCCTTTTGCATTTGAGCATGTAAGAAGGGACAGGAAAGGGAAAGAGGAAAGACAAAGAAAAAGAAGGGAAGATGGGAAGATGGGAAGAGAGCAAGGAAGGAAAAATAAGGAAAGAGGGGAAGGAAGCAGAAAGGAGAACGAAGATGTAAGGAAAAAGAAGAAAAGGAAGGAAGGAGATTATAATGAGAATAAGGGTCTCAGGGAAGTCCTGCCTTAGCACTTGGCCACACAGGTGCCCCTGACACGAGTTCCGTGTCACGCCCACCATTGCCACGCTGAACCCCCATCCATGTCCACCACCACCTGGCCACGCCCCCACCCCGGGCCACTGAGGTCAAACACAACCCTGATGTAGCCCTCAATGAAATCAAGTTTGACACCCCTGTTCTGGATGGTTTTCATGGGAAGTTTTGGAGTAGCTGCCAGAGTCTATCAAAGATGAGCAGATGGAGTCCACATCTCCTCCAGATCCAAGGACACAAAAGATGGAGAATGCCAGCAAAAAGTGTAAACTCAACTGTGATTGTCCACGCTCCCTGCCAGCTTTCCACAAGCAAATTCACACTGTTCCAGTCATTTACCACACCCTTGTACACCTTCCCCCTCAGGGCACCTATTATTATTATTTATTAAGACAATAGGGAAGCTGGCAGGAAGCCTAAACTTGATGTGGTAGAAAGAAGGGAGGGAGGGAAGGAAGGGAGAAAGGAACATTCCAATGCTTCTTGTCAGCTTCTCACAAGGAAACTTAATGAGGGAGCTGACAGGAAATGGAAAGTTACTTGCAATTTTTTTGACCCTCCTGTGGTCACTCTGCTTCTCTGTTTGGAAAAAGAAATAACTCTAACAATGACCCACCAACTCACAGGCTATCTAGTACATTATAGAAGGCTCAACAAAAGTTATATCACACACAAAGATTAAATAGAGTTTCTGTCTAGATTGTAAAAACACCATCAGATGTCAAGAAAGAATGAGAGTTTTCTCTCACTGTGCTGCCGTCTAGTAATAATTTGGATTTTTGCAAACGCTATGTGAAAGCTGCTACCTCTCCTGTTACGTAGGATTGATGGTTGAAAGAAACAGTTCGGCTACATACTGCAGTTTGGTTATCAAATTTGCTGCTTTAAGAACTGGGTGGGGAAATAAACAATGCCAGCCACTTTCACCTCCTGTCTATAAATCAGGTTTAGACCTGAAGCTCCCTGTTCCAGCTGCAACTGATCAAAATAATTGTTACGATGATTTAAAGCCTCTCCAAAATTTTTGGCTTTTTATGTTATGAAAACCATTTTATTAGTTTTATAGACAGCCTGCTGAATAGCCGATATATGCTATCTTAATTCCTAGGTGAGAAAAGAAAACTTTGTAAATAGGAAAATATACTTTAAGGAGAGAGCATTACCTTCCCCCAAGGTACAAAAAACTAGTTTTTCCAGTTGGTGTCACCTTTAAACTTAAAATTGTATTGTAAAAAAATAAGCTGGCTCTTTAGTTTTTAATTAAACACAAACAAGTTAAATAAAGGAAGCCGTGTATTCTTTTAACCAAAATCACAATAACACTGTACAAATCTGCATTTGGAGCCTGAAGTGGCATTTTTTAAAGGACAATTTTATTTTTGACTATTTGTGTGGGACTATATAAAGCTCTTAGAATAACCACTTGTTTCCTATTATCTTTATAAGCAATTTTTATTTTTCTAATAATTTGATTTCTGTCCAATGGGGAATCTGAAAAAAAAATAATTTGAGAGAAGCTGATTTTGAAATGTAGATTATTGTTGCTACTTATCCACTTCAACGTGACATCAGTGGAATAATAATTTTATTTGAAATATTTTATTTGGGCAACACAGTTCCTATTAAGGCATTACAGTAGATCGCCCGTTATAATTTCACTCCTTGTGGTAGGGTGTGGCAGTTGCATATTGCAAATGCTAATGTGAAATATATTATTTCAGTTTCAATTCCGTTTTGAAGGTTGAATGCACTGTGTTATATGTCCCTAGGAATGAACACACACACACACACACACACACACACACACACCACCAGAGGTAGTATTCAGCAGGTTCTGATCAGTTCTGGAGAACTGGCAAATACCACCTCTGACTGGCCCCACCCCCATCTATTCTCTGCCTCACGAGTCCCAGCTGATCGGCTGGATCTTCTTTTGTTGCCCTGCACAGGAGAACGGAGCTGGAAAGCAGGTTAGCGGGGTGGGGAGGGAATGGAATGGAATTTTGCAATAATCTTCCCCCAGGAGTGGGAAGGGAATGGAGATTTTGCAGTATCCTTCCCCTGCCATGCCCACCAATCCACGCCCCCAGAACCGGTAGTAAAAAAATTTGAATCCCACCACTGATCAAGGGTCCTTGATGCTTTCTGAGCCTGGTTGTTGTCTCGCAATTTCATTACCCAAACTAAGTAACAACATCAGTGCTATTTTAAAGCCAAAAGGTGTTTTTCATCTTCTCAAAGCAGTGCCAAAGGAGAAGGAGAGAAAGTTACGCTAGTCCACAGATCGAGGGAAAGAAAAAGTGGAAAGTTCCTCCATATAATACTAAAATGCAGGCAACTAATATCTTGGGACAATTTATTGCTTATCTTTGCTTATGGAAGGATGAGTGGGAATAGTGGTTGTAGCATACCTTCAGTGCTCTCTGGGTTAGTTCCCCCTGGGTCATTTGGATTTGGAAGTCCAGCTGGTGGCTCATAGCCTACCACCAAATCAATTGTTGCCTAAATTAAAAGAAAAAAGAACTTGCAAATGCTGCAATGGATAAATTCAAGAAGCTCCTACGGACCTGCAGGCCACCCATGTTGCTTATCTAACATATTCTCTTAATTTCGTGAAGCTATTTTGTATGTCCAGTGTAGTCTTTGATTTACAACCATTTGTTTAGTGATCATAATTACAACGGCACTGATAAAAGTGATTTACAACTAGAGCTTAGAATTTACAACTAGAGGTTAGAATGCACTGCTACAGGCTAACTCACTGCTCACTGCCAGGAGTTCAATTCTCATCGGCTCAAGGTTGATTCAGCCTTCCATCCTTCCGAGGTCAGTAAAATGAGGACCCAGGTTGTTGGGGGCAATATGGTGACTCTATAAACCACTTAGAGAGGGTTGTAAAGCACTGTGAAGTGGTATATAAGTCTAAGTGCTTATTGCTATTATGACTGTTGCAGCATTCCATGGTCACGTGATCAGAATTTGGTTGCTTGGCAACTGGCATATATTTACGATAGTTGCAATGCAGAGGGCTCATGTGGTTACCATTTGTGACCTTCCCATCCAACATCGAACAAGAAAAACCAACGAGGTGTAGAAAGTTAGCACCTACCCTCTCCTAGAAAAATGAAATATACTGGGAAATATTAAAAAGGCAGAATATTTCCCCTAAAAAGAGTAGAAATTCAGAAGCAAAAACTCACCTCAGAGATGCAGAAAATCTGGCCCCCCACCTTTGCTAATGGGCCATTAAGGCCTAGGCCAGAGTATTCTACATAACAAAGGCCTCTACCCACCTCACCATCTGACCTGGGAAGATTGTATCAGCCAGCACTCAGGTGAAGCCATGTAGTCCAGACAAAGCCTACAAAGTTAGTTAAGACCCCCGCCCCTGGGAGTCTGACAGCCAATGGGATACATTTCTTGCACAGAAACAGGAAACACTACGGTGGGGTCCAACACAGGTTATAAAACTAAAGGTCTCTCAGCATCTCAGCCCTTTTTCCCTTCCTTCTTCATCCAGGGCATGTGATCCTGTCCACCATTAAACCATCTTTCGAAACAACCTCCATGTTTCCAGTGTTTTTTCCCTTGGAACTGAACCCAGAAGGATAATTCTTCCAACAGAGGAAAGCAGGATTCACGTAACAACCTCATGATTCTTTTAACAACTGCAGTGAATCACTTAACAACTGTGGCAAACAAAGTTGTAAAATCAGGCATGACTGACTTAGCAATAGAAATTCTGGTCCCCATTGTGGTTGTAAGTTGAGGACTAACCATTTGAGAAAATTTGGATCACCAATTCTTTGGAGCTTTAATATTAATTTATGGATGTAGTATTTAAACGTAGGCTGCATTTCAGAAGGATACCACAGTAGTTTAAGCAGTATATTAGAATAATACCAGTAAAAACCAATGTATAGATATGTTTCCTTTTAACATGTATATATTTGTTTTGTTAGTTATTTTAATGTATAAATACATTCATAAATAATCATCTGATCTTTCCTCTCGGCCATCTTTGATTGCAGCTCCGGATTTATATTTCTGAAAAGTTCCCCATGTTTTTGAAACATTTTATCCAGCTAAATAATAAAAATAAAGAGGGCACTTACTCCAGTTCCTAGTCCCTTTTCATTTAGTAGGGGTATGAGCTTGTATGGAAGAGATCTACTTTGCGTGCCTACTAGTTCCTTGAGTGCTACTGATGCCGTGCCAATTAGCCTGCAAGGAAAGAATGGAAATCTGTTATCAAGAGGACACTTATGGTACTGTAAGAAAAACAATGCTTTCCTTTGAGAAATTGCCAGCTTAGGCCTGAGATTTTGAAAATCACTACTGATCACGAATATGCTCAGATTTGCTACATGATTCAAAGCTATCAAATACCGCAATGGCCATGGGCTGAAAACGTAAACTATTCCAGTTTGATATTTTCCAAATGTCTTGAATTATAACTCTCATCTCCCAAGCCATTATGACCAATACCTCTAATGGCTGAAGCTAGTAGGCTTTGTATATCAATCTATCTGGAAGATACTTTAGTGTTTTTCAACCTTGGCAACTTTTAAGATATGTGGATTTCAACTCCCAGAATTCCCTAGCCAGCTGACTAGCTGGAGAATGCTGGGAATTGATGTCTTTGTATATCAATCTATCTGGAAGATACTTCAATGTTTTTCAACCTTGGCAACTTTTAAGATATGTAGATCTCAACTCCCAGAATTCCCTAGCCAGCTGACTAGCTGGAGAATGCTGGGAATTTACTTCTTTGTATATCAATTTATCTGGAAGATACTTCAGTGTTTTCAACCTTGGCAATTTTCAAGATGTGGATCTCAACTCCCAGAATTCCCTAGCCAGTTGACTAGCTGGAGAATGCTGGGAATTGATGTCTTTGTATATCAATCTATCTGGAAGATATTTCAGTGTTTTCAACCTTGGCAGCTTTTAAGATATGTGGATTTCAATTCCCAGAATTCCCTAGCCAGTTGACCAGCTGGAGAATGGTGGGAGTTGACGTCCACACATCTTAAAACTGTCAAGATTGAAAAACATGCTTTACATTGTAAAAGATCTACATATTGTAGTAATATTAGCACTGAAATTTTAGGCTTCAAATTTACTGTATCCATACACAGACAAAACTTCTAGGCAAAGGGGGACTGTGTTGCATAAGAATAACAGAATAACAGAGTTGGAAGGAACCTTGGAGGTCTTCTAGTCCAATCCCTTGATCAAGCAGGAAACCCTATACTCGTGATGGTGAACCTATGGCATGCGTGCCACAGGTGGCATGCAGAGCCATTTGTGCGGGCACGCGAGCCCCAGGCAAACTTACCTGCACTGCACATGTGTGCACCTCCCAGCTGATTTTTGGCCCATTTGAGGCTCAAGGAAAGCCTCTGCAGCCTCGGGAGGCCGAAAAATGGGCCTTCCGGAAATACTGGAAGTGCCTGTTTTCAGCCTCTGGAGGGCCTCTGGAGCCCAGGGGAGGTTGTTTTCGCCCTCCCAGAGGCTAGAGGGAAGCCTCTGGAGCATTGGGAGGCTGAAAACGGGCCTGTTTTGGCACTTCCGGTATTTCCGGAAGGCCCGTTTTTCAGCCTCCCGAGGCTGCAAAGGCTTCCCTCAAGCCTCCAGGAGGGTGAAAACGGCTTCAAACAGGCCGAATATCAACTTGGAGGTGCACGCATGCACAGTGCAGGTAAGGGGGCATAGGGGGTGTTGCGCACACATGCGCAGGGTGGTGGTGGGGCACATTGCATTGTGGGTGCGCACCAGTGGTGGGATTCAAAAACCTTTACTACCGGTTCTGTGGGCGTGGCTTGGTGGGCGTGGCCATGTGACTGGGGGCGTGTGGATTTTTTTTTTGCAGCCCCCACCCATTTTTGTGAGCTTCCTAGCCACAGAGGAGCCTCTGGGGGGGGTCATATTTGCTCCCCTAAGGCTCCTCTTGGGCTCTGGAAGAAAAGGAACAGAGCATGGGAGAGGCGCGCAGCACCCCTCCCAGTTCCGTTTTGGGAGCTTCCTAGCCTCAGAGAAGCCTCGGGGGGGGGGCATTTTTGCTCCCCTAAGACTCGTCTGGGGCTCTGGAAGGCAAAAATGTAAGGGGAGCTGAGCCTCAGCAAGGGAAATCCCAGCAGAGTTGATCTTATCTACAGCTGATTGTCGGGAGGGGAAAAAAAAGAAAGAAATACCTTAGACGAATGTCAGGTAGGGGGGCAGGGTGAGCGAGCATCGGGTGGGAGGGCGACCGGGTGGGGGGCATGGCCATCCAGAACTTACTACAGGTTTGGCGACCCACGCCAAATTCTTGCTACCGGTTCACCCGATCCGGTGCGAACCGGATCAATACCACCACTGGTGCGCACACTTTCTTTTTTTTTTTTAAACAAATTTTATTAATTTTTAAAAGCATACAAAACATACAAAATAAACATAAAACCTTTTTTCTAAAAATTTCTAAAAATTATTTGAAAGTTTTACATTAACACATTTCCTTACAATCACATATTTTCCCTTTCTAACTTGCTTTATTTTCTTCTATCTTTCTCTCCATTGTCCTTTTCTAACCTTTCTCCAAGGTTTTATTAGCTCATTCAAACATAAACACATAAGAACACAAAACATATAAACATAAAAAAAAACATCTTTTCTGAAAGTTGCTTAATCCCGGGTCAAAACTCTTTGTACAGACACCAACTCAAATTCATATTCATTTTATATGCCATTCCATATCTTATTACCATTTTCAATTTTTTATATAGCTTCTTCTCTCTCTTAGATTCTCTTAATTTTATTTTATTTATCTCATCTCAATTCAAATCATAATATTTATTATTCTTTGTCTGTTTATTTCCAGCTATCGATTTATCTTTCTTCTTTAAAAAAAAAGCTTCTCCTGTACACTAATTGGAGTATGACACCTTTACCTCTTTCCCCTACATTTATAATACTTAATATAAAATACCTAACTTACATTGGGATTCTATTTGGTACATTCTAAAATTATACAATATTATCAATACCAATACTAATCTATTCATTAATATTCATATTCTTTTATATCATAAACACTTAGCACATTACTTTTCAATTAATTAACATACTTTTGTGGGAGCACCTACTTTCCATAATTATTCCCCCCCACATCACATATTTTAAATCATTATTTCATTAAGGTATTCCTGCTTCTCCTACTTCAAATCTCTCCTTTCAAAAAAAAAAAATTTCCACTGAAATAACACAATCTAATTAATATTGACATTCATTTGTATCTTTCTCTCCAACTCCTTTATATCTTAACCATTTTATCCATTTCAATTAAATAACATGCCTTTTGGGAATACTTATATTTTCCACAATTATTCCCCCCCCCCCATCATATCTCAAATCCTTATTTCATGAAATGTTCTCCTTTTCTTAAGACAAGTTTCACTAAGTTATATTAAACATTTTATCACACTTTAAATTACACATTATTTCCAACTTTCTAAAATTATTTCTAAATACAAATATAAAAAACAATCTTATGTACCTTTAGAACCCTTTATCAATAAAGTTTACCCATTATCTCTAAAAAACTTTTGTTTCTTTACATCTTGCTCTCTACTATTGAGGCTTCTCATCCCCTTTCTCCCTTGCTTATTCTTCTCTCTGTCCTCTTTACCCCTTTGCCTCTCCACCTCCCTTTTTCTCTGCTTTCCTCCTTTCTGTTGTCTTCTAACATAATATCTCTTTTTCATCTTGTTTTTCTCTTTTTTGGTTGCTTTTATAGGTCTTAAAGTCTCTTTTTCCTTTTTCTCTTTCTCCTCTCCTTCCCCAGCCAAAGTCACTTGTTCATCAAAAATGGCTTCTTCTTTGTCCCAGTCATCCTGTTGTCCATTCAATTTTACATAAGTGTAGACCGCCATTTCTAAATACTGAAAAAGAGTATCAAAAACGTCCTTCCCTTCTTGCTTTTCTTTTTCATATTTTTGATATAAAAGTTTCAATCTGTCCACAAGTAATGCCATTATAAAGAGAAAAAGTTTTCCCAAGCAACCACCCAAGTGCTTTCAATCAGAGATAATTCTCAAAAGTGGTAAAATCACCAAGCAATCCAAGTAGGTTAATTCTTTTAAGCACTTTCTCCTTCACTTTCTCTTTCTGGGATTGGAGTTTGATCACAAAGTTCCATTTAATATATATCTTTCAGAAGCCTTGTTAGTATTTATAACTCTTTAAAAATCCAGGCAGTCTTCTTATTTTCAAATTCTAATCCAATTTTTCCCTCTCCCTTCCCACTCACAGCAAAAAAAAAAATTTTTTTTTTAAAAATCATTCAGAAATCCTTATCTCTTCAGTATTTAATTACCTAGATTTTCAGATTTCTCTTGTTGTTCCATCCGCTGTCACGTTAGGAAGGAGAGTGAAGGGGAAAAAAAAAACTTTCCCTTTTAGAATTCTGTGCGCCACTTGTAACTCTCTCTGGAAACAATGTAGCAACTTCTCCGTAGCAATTTTCAAGCCCCAGGAAACTTTCTTATCCCTTGGCAACTTTATCCCAGTCCAGAAACAACTCTCACGATTTCCCCGATTTTCTTCCTCCTGCACAATCTTATCCGTTTGCAGGTTTCTTCATGGCGGCCATTGCTGACCGCCGCTCCTCCGCCTCAGGAAAAGGGGGTTTTGCTGGCTGGGGAGGGGCTCTGCAACACCCCTTACCCCCCTTCCAGATCCCCCCTGTCTTCAGCTGCCCCTGCAGGGCAGCTATATCCCCCAGATCCAAACGGATCGGGGGAACCTTGGCAGTGAGCTCGGCAGGGATCGCGCTGGATCGCAAATCCTTGCCGCTGCCGAAGCCTCGCAAACCGGAAGACCCGGTGCGCACACTTTCAGCACACCACAACAAAAAGGTTCGCCATCACTGCCCTATATCATTTCAGGCAAATATATCATTTCAGACAAATAGCTTCATGGTTAATCATTGCTATTCGAACTAACAAGCACATGTATGTTTGCAGCATTATCCAAATCCTCTTTAATTGCATTCCTCTGGGTGCCTCTGAATCATGTTACAAGATGCTACCTGTTTAGAATAAGTTATGAATCCTTGACTTTCAATAATTTGAAAGTCTGTTCGAAGTTACAATAGCACTGAAAAATGCAACAGGGTCACATTTTACACTTACAAATCATTACAGCATCCCCATGGTCACGTGATCAAAATTTGGATGCTTGCA